TCTTTTATAAGTTGGTAGAGCCTTACAAAGCCTTTATCTGTCACTTGGAATAGTCTGTTTTAAATTGTAAAGACTGTTTACTGAGAACAGATTGAAAGTTTGTCTCAAAGAAAAAAAAAATACTGTCACATCTAATTGTATTTGTAGGGAAGTTAGATTATGCAGACTGCTAGCACACTAATTTGAGTGTGTAGCAAGTTTTGAGTCCTTATGACACAGTGAAGTCTTAACCTTCTATAACGTAAGATGGATCTAATTACATGTTGGAATCTGAAGTAGAAATTAACCATTCCTCTGTGAAGTAGCTTGGCTTAGTTCACTGAAAGTGTATTGCAAGCTGAACATCACGGAATTTAGATATTGCACATCAGTATATAAATTTTTATATTTACCATAGATTCTGTTGTGTATTCATGCATGCTCTGTCATATGTGAATACTTACTACAATGTGTCCAGAACAGTGTTTAGAAGGGGGAGGCTCTATAAGTGTGTTAACTGTTTGCTGAAGTGATGTTAAAGTAAGGCAATCCTGTTTTCAATACCTTATGACTTTTTCAGAGTTTGTGTTTTGCTTAATATGGATGATTAAAGTTATACAGGGAATAAATGAGGAAATATAATAAAAATATGAAAGATGTGTAGCAAAAGATGTGTTCCCTTCACAGGTGTGAAAGGAAATAAGTAGGAAAGCTGAATATTGGAGCATTTTTTTTTCCTGCAAAGTTACTGAAAAAAACTCTATTCAAAATATAGTGTGTTGTAAAATGAGTTGTCAATGCTATATGTAAGACTTTGGTCTTCTGAAGAACTGTTATGCCAAATTTAGAAGCTGGTATCACCAATTAAATTGTATGATAGAGGAATTTAAGTCTTAGCTATCTTAATTCTGGATTGCTCTGAGAAATAACTCATACATTTCATGAGTTTAGTAACACAAATTAAAAAAAAATGTAGTGGCTTTTTCTTCTACCTATAAGCATGAAAGTAGTAAGAATGCTAGCTAATAGAATACTTCTTTTACATTTACAAAATCCTTCTCTGTTTCACAGATTCTAGAAAGTCAGTTACAAGTACTACAGAAGACAACGTATATAGCGTAGTTTATTTAGCTGACAAATATCTTTTCAAATAGATGAGTTAGCACAAATACAAGAGTGACTCCATATTGTGTTCATTTGCAGCTGAAATAGTGAACTGAATAGGAAGATAAATAAATAGGTAAAAGAGTGAGAAGCAAACTAACTGTTTTGCAATCCAAGATGACAGTTTTGGATTGCATTTCTAGGTGTATGGAGTAAATGATGCTTTGAGAAAAAGAACAGTTTCAGATTCATAGATCACAGTTGGGAGCTGCACTGCCTGAGAAGCGAGTAACGGTTGAAGTGGTAGTGTGTTTAGCTCTGGGTTGATTTACGCTGTTAAATGTGTGCAAATACTTTTACACAAGAGCTGTTATTAATTAAATCATTCAGTACGTTGTTGCCCTCCTATGAGTACTGTATTACTTCTGGAAATAATAAATTAGTATAGAAAAATTTTTATAAAAAACTTTTTTCGTTGTTAGAATGCGGCTCTGAATAGAATTAATGTTGTATTTCTTAAAGATGTTGCATCCTGAATATAATTTTTTATGCTAATATAGGACTGTACAAGACTCATAAAAGTTCCAGATAGTTTCCCTGTTACCAAAAGGAGAAGATGGTAGACTGGATTCTTTGTGAGACTTCTCAGTCTTCCAGTTTGGACATTTTGTTACAATATAGAGGATGTTCAGGTTCTGTTTGAGATATGATGCCAACAAGATGCAATGGCTGCCTATTTTAGTGGTTATTCCTGTGGGAAATTCCAAAGTTCGATGATTTGTCCTTGCTTTCTGGTCAGCACTGTTTTGGTTAGTACACTTATTTCTATTATCAAACTGTGAAAGTGCTACTGCTAGTCCAATGGAGAACTTTCCTGTAATTATTCCAAGACTACTGTAGTCAGTAACAAGTGATCACAGCACTCCAGAATTTCTTGGAAAAAAAAAAAAAAGCGTTCTCTAACCTCTATATTAGTTTAATGTGACAGTCTTTGTTTAGGGGGCATGATAATGTGGAAATGTATTCAGTTACAGAAGATTAAGAGACAATCTGTTACTGTGCTGCTGACTAGAAAGCAAGAAAGCAGGATTAGAAATTTGTCGTTAATTTATAGGCATCTTTCTCATTTCTCAGAAAGCGAATAGGAAAACAGAGATTCTGCATTCTCATGCTTGTGCACGGATAACTTTCTGAGGAGAGACTCTCAGGCAAAAGAACATGAGGAAAAAGTTACGCTCTGTAGCAGAGAGGCCATTCTCACCACAGAGGAAGCATAATAACGACCTAATCCAAAGGTCGTGTTTAAGCTCGTGTTTTTTCCTAGTGCCCTCACATTGCTTAGGGGAAGTTTCCTACATTTTTCCATTCTTTTTCTCCAGTGAGAAAGAGTCCACTTAGTGCAGACTGCTGAAAGTCTGCTTTATCATCTTATGTTTACTTTCTCTTTGATTTTCTGTGATGAAGATCTATGCAGATACTGCATGGAACATCCAAAATTCAGCCTCCTCTTTGGTATCTTTCAGTGCCCCCTAGCAGCCTTCTGTTTTTCTTCAGACAAATCAGACTATTTGTCAAACTCTTGCTTTGTCCATTCTGAATGAACTTAATTATTTTCTAGAGAAAAATAATCTAAACTGTGCCCATACTGTACTTAGAACTGGCAGTTCTATGTCAGGAAGGAGATATTGGAGTCGCATCACAGAGGAGATATTGGAGTCATTCCTGACAGTTCTTTAAAGTCATTGGCTCACCATGTAACAGCAGCCAAAAAAGCAACAAAATGCTGGGTATATCAGAAAGTCATTGAGAAAAAGATGGCAGCATCATTTTGTTGCTATATAAACTTATATTTTCTATATAGCTTGAGTACTTCATACAGTTCCGGTTTCTCCATCTCAAGAAAGATATAGTAGAATAGAAGAAGATGCAGAGAAGAATCACTAAAATGATCAGAAGGGTGGAGCAGAGGCCTTTGTCACAGGAGAAACTATTTTAACTGTAGTATGGAGAGGAGGAAGCTGGGGTAGGATATGATCCAGGTCTAAATATGATGAAAATGGGTAAGCTGGATGCAGAATTGTTACTCAGGACTTCTGCAAGAGAAGAAGTAGAAGATACCTGACAAAATTAGCATGACATTAGATAACACAGGTACAGATTCTTTATTTAGCAGGTGAAGTAGAACTTACTGCCATGGGAAGTAGAGGCAGATAGCAGTTCAGTTGACTTATGGTGTCTAGTGACCTCAATAAATGAGGAATGTGAAGTGGAGGGAGCCCACTGTGGCTTGCCAAAAAAGAAAGGGGTTGGGGGGAAATGGCTTAAATTGTGGAAGTGAGTAAGTAAAAACAAAGAAATGTCAGCAAAGCCTCTCTTTCTCTATAAAGATAGGGAATGCTTGGAACAGGTAAGATGTTGGACTCTAGAGATTCTAGAGGGGAGCAGAAAGCGAAATTTTAAATATCAGTTAATTTAAGTTTCTCTCTTGATTAACTCACAGTATTTTGGGATCTGGCATTTATGAGCATCTCATTTTAGCTTTTACATGGTATTTAAATAGTATGGTTGATGTTTTTTGTCTTCATTTTCAAAGTACTTGTGGTTTTTTTTAATAGTCACATTTCCTTCTGCTTTCCTTTCTTTCTTGAATTGTGTGCTAGTACTTCTTTTTTTTACTGCTTTTCCTCTGGTTATGTTCCTGTAATACGGAGGGATTAAGTTAAATTCCATACCTCTGTGTTTAACTTTCCAGTTAGTGACATAATAGCTTGGTTAAGTTAAAATTTGAAGGAAAAGTCCCCTTGCTCCCCCCCCAAAATTCAAATATCAGTGAAGATTTTCTTAGTGTGATTTTTGGAATAGTTGCTCAGCTCACCGCTTGAATTTTGTAAGGGAGTTACTCAAATGATACAAGATGAGACCAAAATCCTTTACAATGGTTTTCTGTGTGTGCAGTATGTACATGAAAACAATTTTAAATGGTATTTTTCTTTCTTTTTTAAATGGTATTTTTCTTTTTAAAAACATATATTGATTATTTGTTTTCTTTAATCTCACTACATAGAGAACCATAAAAACATGAATTTAATGGAGGAAGTTGCTACCACATATTTAGAAATGTTGCTTTGTATTTAAAGAGTACATATCCCTAAAGCTGTATATCTTTTAGAGAAAAAGTGGAGATTACTTTTTTTTTCCCCGTATGTCAGGTGATATATTGCAGACAAAATAATAACAATAACAATAAACAAAATAACAATAATAACAATAAACAAAATTGTTTATTGGACCCCATAACTAAAAAAATATTCAGTTAGAACTAATGCGTTTAAACAAATACATGCAATTACCCTGTCATTATAACTATGCAGTATGTGTATTCAATCATGATTCATGGTATTAGTTGTGGCCTTGGTTTCACAAGTCATGACTCCATTGAATTAGATTTTGATTTTGATTTCTTACGCCACTGGAAAATATTATTACTAACTTTTAAAAATTCTTATCCTGTCGCTGATTAAGGTCTGAATTTTCATACTTCCTATGTTATTTCTGATACAATTTTTAAACTTTCAGTGAGGAATAGAACATCTTAATCTCGAATATGGCAGATTTCATCATTTAAAAACACAGCCTTTTAAAGCTCTTTATGCATCTATAATAAAGTTCAGTGGTGCAGCAAGTAGAGAGCAACAGAGACAGCAGCAGCTCTAAGTTATGCTGTTAGAGACTGAATAAGTAGGACTGTAGAGTGTGATGACTTACTACTTGATGGTGGAAACAGGCCTAGAAAATGTTAAAAAAAAATGTAAAAAAAAAAACCCACAAACAACTTAAGCAAGCATAAAAAAATATGAGTTTAGAGAAGTAATTTTAATTTTTCACAAACTTATACTTGTGTATGGTCTCTTCTTCAGGATAATTACACATTTGCACAGCCAGGAATTCAAAAGAAAGTGAAAATGCTGGAAGAACTTGTTAGTCGGATTGACGGTAAGTCTTAAAAGCTCACCTAATTTCCAAGTAGTGTTTCCTTGAAAGCGTTTAGTTAAAACGTTTGGAAGAAGTCAAGCTAACGTCATTACGGTTATCTATCGTGGTAGTGTAACGCAGCCTTCCCCAGATGAGTTGTCATACTCGATCAACTTGTGGCATACTGGCCTTTGCACGATCACTGTCTTGTATCATTTAAAAGAAAGCCACTAGAGCATGAGCCGCTTTCATTACTTTTTATTAAGGCAATATAATCAAAATTCAATGGCAATTTCTTTGCAGCAGAGTAATGGCCGCATACAAAAGGCAGCCAGTATTCATTGCGCATTAAGCTCAACGATTGTTGTAATTCGGGAGAGTCACAGTGGTTGTTTATGGTTGTCCTTCGGCACTATGTTTTGTGCCTTTGTGCATCATTTTGCTATCTGGAAAGCCTGAATAATTTCTCTGTGGAATCCAATTAATTACAAACTCTGGAAATAACATCTTTAATATTATAGATAAATTACAGTGTGTGCAGGGGTAATTTTAGATTATGCTTTCATGTTTTAGCAGGGCACTCTGAAATGTTTTCTACCTTCGTCTTTAAAATAATTCCCTTCATGAAATGCTGACTGTCATATTGGTAGAGCAGAGTTTAATTAAATGAAATGCAAGAGATAATGCTTGCTCATTCTAAACATACTCTCTTGATAGTTTGTTAAATTAATGAACAGAGTATTAACAAAATGTTGCCAAGCAGAACCAAGCATATATTTGTGATACTAGCCTGTCAATGCTGAGATAGAAAAAGTATTTCTTCTATAGCTTAATACTATATAATCTTCTTGAAAAGATTAATTCTATCTTTTCATTATACATATTGTGAGCTTTTCTTGTGCCATTGCTTACCATAGCAGATTTTGGTTTGGCCTACACATACTTGCATCCTGAATGTTGGATATACCTCCTTTCTGCCCTTTTAGGATGTTAAAATATTTTTAATGCTCAACAAATAAGTGAGAGAAAACAATTCTTATGGAATATTATAATATAAATATAAATTATATAGAAGTCTGTATATATATATTTTTAGTTTAAAATGTAAATAAATATGAAAACCTAAGAGAATTGCTGCCCTATTACTAAAACTTTCTGGGATTAGGATGGCAGAGACACTGACACTATTATTGTTTTTCCCCTGCACATTTTTCTTGAAGAAATGCTGGATTATCTGGTAATTGACAGAGTTTGGAAAAAAACCTCATACACCCTCACACTTGAACTGATGTATATTAAAAAGTAACTCGTATAACACTACATCGCCTTACTTTTTATCATAAATTACCTTTTAATCCACTTTGCTTCTGCTGTTCTGCCAGCTGTTGCTCACTTTGCCTGCAAATGTAACATCTGAAAACAAACATACTCAGTTTAACTCTACAGTGTTTTATCCCGTCATTACAAGACAGTCCCACAGCATGGACCATGGCACCAATGACCCTTACATGGCACTAATCATGAAGTAGTATAGATAATTAAGTAGAGTGCTGCGCTCAAGATTACTGGAGGTGAGAAATAACATGTCACAGAGTCATAAAATCATGCAGTTTGGAGGTCCAAAACTGTTCAAAGCAGGTCCAAATACATGAAGTTGCTCAGGGTCTTGTTGGGTCCACAAGCTCTCTGAGCAACTCGTTCCAATGTTTGACTATCCTAATGGTGAAATAATTGCTTCTTTTATCTTCATATTCTTATTTCTTACATTGCAACTTGTGTCTATTGCCTCTCAGCATTCCACCGTGCACCTCTGAAAAGAGCCTGGCTCCATCTTCTACAGCCTCCCATCACATAAGCTGTAAACAGCACTAAGATCCATCCTTTGCCTTCTCTCAAGGCTGAACACACCTAGTCTGTCAGCTTCTCCTCAAACGTCATGTGCTCCAGCCACTCAGCCATCTTGGTAACCCTCTGCTGTACTTGCTCCAGTATGCCAGTATCTTACATTGAGGAGCCCCAATGTGGACAGCTGCTGCAGACGTGGTCTTACAAGGGCTCAGCGGAGGGGAAGAATCACTTCTCCTGACCTGCTGACCACACTCTTGCTAATAAAGCCCAGTATATGGTTGGCCTTCCTTGCTGCAAGGGTGCAATGCTAACTCGGGTACTCCCTATTGTCCAGCAGGACCCTCAGGTCTGCAGCTGCCTTCCAGCCAGTTGGTGCTGTTGCACGCGGCTATTCCATCCCAGATAAAGGACCCTGTATTTGCCTCTCCTGAACTTCACAAAGTTCCTGACAGCCCATTTCTCCGGCCTGTCAAGGTCCCTCTGAATAGCAGTTCTGACTTCCGACATATCACCTGCTCCTCCCAGTTTGGTATCATGTATGAACCTGCTGAGAGTGCACTCTTTGCCATCTTCAGGGTCATTAACGAAGATGTTGCAAAGTACTGGCCCAGCACTGATCCCTGAGGGATGCTGTTATTAATTGGCTGCCAATTAGACTGTGTAGTGCAGTTCATGGCCTGCTGGGCCTGTTTAGCCCAGTAGTCCAGCTAAAGCTTTGATTTGAATAAGGTATGCATTTTTCAGTATTCTTAGGACTGTGTTTGCTGCTTAGAAGTCTGTCCTCTCAGTTCCTCTCTTTTGCGAGAAAAATACACCAAAATATAGGAACACTGAAAAATTTTAGTTGTTAGAATGGTAATGGTGGATATGTAGCAGCTTTTCTTAAAGTTTCTGATGATGCCTACAGAAAGGGATTGTGACCTGGTTGGCTTTTTGGTGGAAGCGCAATATAGTTTGATTAAACTTTATCTTTTCTTGTGCTTTATTCTTCTCCATGTATTTATTACTTTTCTCTGTTTATACTGGGTCTGCTATACTGTAGCAAAAGGCAAATACATGACTGGTGTGAACTGAAGAATTTTGGCTTTAAAAAGGAATCTCATGGTTTACATTTACTGTAAATATGCTTAATGGCCAATTAAGGTTATTGTGGAAGAAAATAATACTCCTGCTGCTGCTGTGGCATATTATTTTCTTGATGGTAACTGAATGGTGAAGAGAAATTTAACATAATTTAAGTATCTGCTTGAGTGGATGAAGCTTATTTTTCTTGTTTGCTGATCATGATGGCTTACCAGCATATGAAAAGTGGAGAACCCTTTGGAGAGTATGTTAATGCATCACGTTAGTGATTCAACCTTTATTACCCTAGTCTCATGGATCACAACTCCTCTCAAAGTAAGTGTTCTTGTGTGTACAGTGCAGAACATTACAGTAGGCTTTAAACAGCCGAGCTACTCTCTTAATGTAAACGTAATCTCTGCCTGTTTAAACTCCAGAAGATACATTTAATGAGTCATGTGTTTAATGGAGTTTTTGAGTTTATTAATAGAACGTTGTTATAAAACACATAGAATTTGAAGAAAGAAACATCATTTAAACTCCTTTATGTCCTTGTCATTGTCATTTAGGTTGTCCTAGGAATTAGAGGAAAAACATTGAGAGGGAGAATCAATAGATAAATCAATAATATGAATTGTCTGTTGTAACTAATCATCTTTTCTATTTCCTGTAATATGGCAATGGAACTTTTCTACTGTAAATCATGAACTGTCTCATGATCTGTAAAAGGTCACACTTATATGGGATGTTATCTTCTAGTATTGCTTTATTTAGGCTGGAAATCAAAGAAACGTGTAGATATTGGAATGCTGAAATTAAGTCAGGACTTGTGCTTTTAGAATTTACTGGTGTTTAGCATTTGGCTGGCTTCATTGCTGGGAGTCTCAGCTTCTTCAATTTATTGAAAGACATCTGTTAATTACATTAGAGCTTCAGATAGTCATTTGGAGAAGATTGAGCATTTTTAGATTAAAAAAAAAATCTTGAATTTTCATATACAGCAATAAAAGATGTTAAAATTACCTGTCGTTCTCTCTACATTATCAAGGAGGCAGTTCTAGGAAAAAAATGGAAATAACAATTGTGCTTAATGTTATTACAGGCTATTTGTGTCAACTTCTCATTAGTATTACAATAAGCCTTAAAAATGTTGATGACTCCGCTTGATACAAATATTCCATATCTTCTGTAGAGTAAGACTGTGAAGAATGAATAAATATCTTGTAAAGAACAACTCTGGGTGATAGCATCTATGTCCTTAATAGTTTGATCTGAGCTTATATTTTCTTGTAATTAAGTGAATTCAGTGTTATTAATCAGCGTTCCTCATCCTTTCACCAGTAATCACCAGTCTTACTGAGAACTGCCCTGTGATCTTAGTGACAAGAAAGGAAAAAAGAATAGAATTGGTTTTTTGAAAAAAAAAAAATTCTTATTGCTTTCTAATTTTTATCCTTCTTTTCAAGGTAGAAGTAACTGGAAAAAAGAAAAAATCAATATAAAAACAAGTGCTGCATTTGTTTTTGCCAAAAGAAAGTTTATTTCGAATTGAACTGCATTTTTTAAAAGTAGAGCAATAATTCAATTTTCCTATTATGTCCACTCTGAACACATCATCTGACTATCTGTTTTGTAAAAAGTTAACTAAAGGTATTCTTACACCTGATATTTTAGTTGACACAATTTCTGGTTTACTTGAAAAAAAATATTTAAAATATGATACTTAAGATCGTACAAAAGAAAAATTTTACAGATTTTTGCAAGAGTAGATTTATTTTTAGGCTAAATGAAAGGATTCAAAAAGTTATTTTATTCCAATTATTTCAAAAGGTAATTAATTATCGTTGATCATTGTCCTGTTTAGGAATGTATTTGTACTTATGCCTAGCTGAAGTTAAAATGTTCTTTGCTGTCCTTTTGAAAGCGTAGCATATTAAGGATTTTACAAAACCTATTTTTTTTTTCATTACTACCATATTGTAAATGGTTTCTTTTATTTACTTTGAATGGAAAGCAAATTCAATAATTTTTCTTTTAGTGTTCTGGCCAAATTAATCTTGGTGTCACTAATTGTAATTTATTTATTTATTCTGTTTTGGGATACAAATGTC